CCAGGGGTGAGTGCTCCCAGAACCTGTCCTGTGCGTGGGGACACCACCGGGACACTGTGGGGAGACCACGGGGAGGGTGGTGGGGAAGACAGGGCAGGCAGAACGCGATCCATCTCACGACTGAGCTGTCGCACACTGCTGTGATGTCTCCTCACTGCTGTTTTTCCCTCTGCCCCATTTCTTCTAGGCTCAAAACCAAGAAGTGGGTGAACGAGCAGAGGTGGGTGCAGGGACAGCTTGGGCAGGGTGGCCATGCAGTGCCATGGGAGGGTTGGAAGCTCCCAGCTCTCCTGCATGTCCAGGTATGGTGGCTTCTCCCTGGGTGCCGGTAGCTCGCAGCTCCTTCCATCAGCAGAGGAGGTGGGCAGCGCAGTGCAGGAGTTGAGAGAACTCTTCAATGTCACCCAGGTACGGCCAGGGTTTGTTCCCTCCTGGGCGGGCACGGTTAGGGCTGCTGCACGAGCTGCACCTCACCCCCTGTCCCACCCCAGGGCAGCCCCATGGATCGGCTCCTGGGCAACCTGAGCCATTTCTTCGAGGGTTTGGATGCACGCAGGAACATCAAGGTGAGCTCAGAGCTGGAGGCATGGCGACACGTGGCATTGGCTGCGTCCCCTCTTTGCTGTGGGGAGCAGTGCCACGGCTGGCAGAGAGAAGTGGAACAGAGTTCAGCGAGCACCTCGGGCTGCAGGTGTGGTTCAACAACAAGGGCTGGCACGCCATGGTCGCCTTCCTCAACGTGGCCAGCAACGGGCTGCTGAGGGCACAGCTCCCCACAGGCTCTGACCCTGCACTCTATGGCATCACGGCCATCAACCACCCTCTGAACCTCACCAAGGAGCAGCTCTCAGAGGCTGCACTGTGAGTGCCGGGTTTGGGCTCCTGTGGGCTCCCCGTTGCCCTCTGACTCCCCTTCTGCTGCAGGATGGCCACATCGGTGGACGTGCTGGTCTCCATCTGTGTGATCTTCGCCATGTCCTTCGTCCCAGCCAGCTTTGTGCTCTTCCTCATTGAGGAGCGGGTCAGCAAGGCCAAGCATCTGCAGTTCATCAGCGGGATGAAGCCCGTCACCTATTGGCTGGGCAACTTTGCTTGGGACATGGTGCGGGATGGGGACGGGGTCAGGATGGGGCACGGCTGTGGCTCCTGAGGGCCGGGACCCATTTGTCACCCCCTGCCCGGATTCTTATGCCCATAGTGCAACTACCTGGTCCCCGCGCTGCTGGTTGTCCTCATCTTCCTCTGCTTCCAGCAGAAGTCCTATGTGTCCTCGGCCAACCTGCCTGCCCTGGTGCTGCTGCTGCTGCTCTACGGGTGAAGGGCCGGCGGAGGCTGGGATGGGATGGGGTTGGTGGCACCCAAGTGCACCATCCTCAGCCCCTTCCTCTGCCCTCCAGGTGGTCCATCACCCCCCTGATGTACCCGGCCTCCTTCCTCTTCAGCATCCCCAGCACTGCCTACGTGGCCCTGACATGTGTCAACCTCTTCATTGGCATCAATGGCAGCGTGGCCACCTTCGTGCTGGAGCTCTTTGTGGACCAGGTGAGAGCTGGAACCCATCCCTCAATGGAGCTGCCTGGCTCTGCCGGCTTTCCCATCCTTCCCTCACTGCCCCATAGAAGCTCAACAACATCAACCGCATCCTGAAGAAAGTCTTCCTCATCTTCCCTCACTTCTGCCTGGGCCGAGGCCTCATTGACATGGTGAAGAACCAGGCGATGGCCGATGCCTTCGAGAGGTTTGGTGAGTGCAGAGGTGCAGGGCTGCTCCCCTGCCCAAATCCCCCTCTCCTGGTGCCCCCATCCTGCAGCTCCTTTCCCCTCCTTTTAAAGGAGACAAGCGCTTCGTGTCCCCGCTGTCCTGGGACCTAGTAGGAAAGAACATGTTTGCCATGGCCATCGAGGGCATCATCTTCTTCCTCTTCACCTTACTGCTGCAGTACCGCTTCTTCCTGCGGCTCCGGTGAGGGCTGGCGAGGGGCAATGGGGGTGATGATGGAGGCAACGGGGACTATAGGGGATCCTGGAGGTTCCCCACTGCTACTCCCCCAGACCCCATGCTCTGCAGCTGCCCTCACTGGGGGATGAGGATGAGGACGTAGCCCGGGAGCGGATGCGGGTGGGCAGCACCGCACGGCGCAGCGCCGTCCTGCTGCTGAAGGACCTGACCAAGGTGTGTGGCTGCCCCGTGCCCAGTCCCGTGTCCCCCATCCCACTGATGGGTGCTGTGTCCCCTGGACAGGAGGTGCTGTGCCTCACGGTGATCCCAATCCCTGTAAGGTGTATCGGTACCGGCGTGCTCCAGCAGTGGACCGGCTGTGCCTGGCTGTCCCACCTGGTGAGGTGAGTGCTAGGGGCTGTGCACTGGGGGGATTGGAGGGGGGGGTAAAGGCTGCTGCTAAGCCCACTGCTCCACAGTGCTTCGGGCTGCTGGGGGTGAATGGTGCTGGGAAGACATCCACCTTCAAGATGCTGACGGGAGACACAGAAGTGACACTGGGGGAGGCCTGGCTGAAGGGACACAGGTGGGAGCATATGCACCGCCATCTCTCCTCACCGTGTGCTCACAAATACCTTCATCCCTACAGCCTGCATGCTGGCTTCTTCATCCTCATCCTCATCCCTGCAGTTCGCTCGTTCCTAACCCTGCTGCATGCTCAGCCTCACCCTTGTCCCCGCAGCTTGTCCCCGGTTCCTGCAGCTTGTCCCTTGTCCCGCAGCGTACTCACCATGTCCCATCCTGCAGCGTGCTCACCGACCTGCAGGCTGTCCATCAGAACATGGGGTACTGCCCACAGTTTGATGCCATCACGGAGCTGCTGACGGGGCGGGAGCATCTGCAGTTCTACAGCCGTTTGCGTGGGGTGCCGGAGGAGGAGACCCCCAGGGTACAGCCCACATCCTAGCCTCCCCCCAGCCTCTCCAGCCCCATCCTCACCCCCACACACGCACTCTCACAGGTGGCTCAGTGGGGCATTGCCAAGCTGGGCTTGGGACCACATGCAGACCGCCTGGCAGGCACTTATAGTGGGGGCAACAAGCGCAAGCTGTCCACGGCCATCGCCCTGCTTGGAAGCCCCCCCATCATCTTCCTGGTCAGTGGGGCAGTGGGGGGGACGGCAGCCGTGAGGCAGGACCCGATGGGGAGCTGACATTGTGGCTGCAGGATGAACCCACGACGGGGATGGACCCAGGTGCCCGGCGCTTCTTGTGGGACTGCATCCTCAGCCTGGTCAGGGAGGGCCGTTCCGTGCTGCTCACATCCCACAGGTGGGTTCCCAGCAATGGGGACACCAAGGGTCGTCCCTGCCGTGTGCCTCACACCTCCCCCCACCGGCAGCATGGAGGAGTGCGAGGCGCTGTGCACCAGGATGGCTATCATGGTCAACGGCCGATTCCGCTGCCTGGGCAGCGTGCAGCACCTCAAGAACCGGTAATGGGTGGGGGTGGGCCCATGGGGGGGGCGGCTGCGCTGGGGACGAGCACTGCCTTCATTACCGTCCCTTCGTTGGTGCAGGTTTGGGGATGGGTACACAGTGGTGGTGCGGGCGGCGGGGCCCGGCCCTGAGCTGGGCACTGTGCAGCAGCTGATGCAGTGCAGCTTTCCCGGCATCGCGCTGCAGGAGCAGCACGGCAGCACGCTGCAGTACCGCCTGCCTTCCCACGCCTGCTCCTTGGCACACGTGTTCGGCGTGCTGGCAGCACACTGCGGGCAGGGCTCCATCCAGGACTACTCTGTGTCCCAGACCACCCTTGACCAGGTGATGGCGGTGGGGGGGCACGGTGTATGAGGACGGGGTTCCTTGCTGCTGGTGCTCCTCTGCTCACTCCCCATCCCTGCAGGTCTTCGTGCACTTTGCCAGGGAGCAGAGCGACGGGGACCCGGGGCAGGACGTGGGATCAGCTCAGGATGCAACCTCAGGGCAGGATATGACCCCAGTGCCCGGGAGGCGGCTGATGCCTTTTCTAAAGGACGACAGCTATCAGGAGAGCGTGGTCTGAGTGTGGCTGCACGGCTCCTGGACTCCTCACAACCACTGATCTCGGTCTGCTGTTGGCCTGGAGCCCGGCTGCACCACTCCTGCTGGTCTGGGGTTACGATTCCCCGGCTCGGAGCTGCAGGGGAAGGCTGGCCCGCTCCCCTGCACCCATAGCTGGGCGCCGGGCTGTGCTGCTCGCGCTGCTGTCACTTAGCGAATGGAATAATAAAGTGCTGCAGTGCCGCGGGCGGAGCGCCGTGCTTTGTGGCTGTAGCATAACGGGGCGGGGGAGGAGGAAAAGAGAGGTCCGGAGCGGGACCGTGGGCTGTCGGTGTGCGGGAAGAAAAAAAATATGGAACGCTTCACGAATTTGCGTGTCATCCTTGCGCAGGGGCCATGCTAATCTTCTCTGTATCGTTCCAATTTTAGTATATGTGCTGCCGAAGCGAGCACGACTTGCTGTCACCCTCATAGGATATTTAAACCCCTTTTTCTTTATACTTTATAAGTAACGGTGAGCTAGCCTTTTACCATTTGCAGATTTCTTCTTCTAATATTACCCCTTCAACAGAAATCCTACTCACTCCGCTGAGCTCTTTCTTTTTCGTAGAAAATTTGGCTTTTTCGGGGATTTGTTGCCTCACATAAGGGCCAACAGCGCGCGGTGCACGGCGGGAAGGTTTTTACTTTACATATAGGGGCGGGGCAGCAGCCCTTCTTCCGCCGTCCCACAATTCCTTGCGACGCTGCGTTGCGTCGGCGCTGTGTGTGTGCCGGAAGATGGCGGCGGGGCGCTGAGGGGCGGCCGGGGCCCTGAGAGGAGGAAGAAGAGGAGGCACCGCCGCCTCCGGGCCGCCTCATGGCCTCGGAGCCGCCTCGGGAGCCGCGTCCCATCCGAGCAGCGCCGCCGCGGGGCCGCTCCGAGGGCCGCTGAGAGCCCCGCCCGGGCCTGCAGCGCTCCGTGCCCGGCTGTGGCTGCGGGGGGAGGCCGGGCCGGGGCCGAGCAGCGCGGGGTACTGAGCGCCTCCCCAAGGCCCCGCGATGTCCGAAGCGCAGCCCCAAGGCCAGCACCCCCCGGCCAACCACACCGGGGCCGCGGGGGGCACTAACCGGGCCGGGAGGAACGCTGCCCTCAATCAGAACCCTCTGATCAATGTTCGCGACCGCCTCTTCCACGCGCTTTTCTTCAAGATGGCTGTGACCTACGCGCGGCTCTTCCCTCCTTCCTTCAGGCGGGTCTTCGAGTTCTTCGTGCTGCTCAAGGTGAGGCCCGGTCGGGGGGGGGTTCCTAGCAGTCTGTCTTTGTGCACATCACACACGCGAGGTACCCGAATGCTGCCGTGTTCATGGGTTGCCGTCCCCTCTGGGTGCAATCGGTGCAAAGCTCTGTTTTATCGCCGTTTTTCTTCGCTGTAATCGACGCCCTCAGCTGTGTGCAGGGCGTCCTCTCCGTGGACAGGTGAAACCTGTCTGCGTTTTTGCTGATGTAATCTGACGTCCGCGGAGTGGCAAAGCTGAATTCTGCAGGGTATGGAAGTTACAGCCTCCCCTGTGGGGACCATGCATCAGCCTGGTGCTGTCTGTGTGAGGTGAAGTGCTGCCCTGCGGCTTCCAGACCTCTGGAAATAATAGAGGGAGGCAAAGGAGAGCCAGCTAGGTAACAACAGAGTGCTTTGTGCCCTGGGTTCTAAACCCTGGGAATCCAGGGTTCTAAAATCCAGCCCCATCTGGGTTACCCTGAATTGTACTACATGGGCACCTTTTTCTCCCTGCCCAGTAAACGTTCAGGTTTTGTCACGCAGCCCAGCCAGGAGAAGTTCCTGCTGCCACCTGCTTTTAATTGAAGCAGGCTGAGAAAATTCAAGTATTCCCAGAAGAGATCCTTGCTTCTGCCCTTAGGGTTAGCAGGAAGCTGTGCTTTCAGCCCCCCCTGTGTGAGGATAGTGGTGCGAGGCCAGGTCTGCATGCTGTGCTTGGCATCCTGGTGCTGCTCCTGGCTGCTTTCATCACCATTCTCCCTGCATCAGGGATCTGTTTTGGGGTTACCTTCCCCAGCATTTTCCCCTCTGCGGCTCCTCTGCAGATGTGATGTTACCAGCCTGTTTATTCATGACAAATAGGTCAGGCACAATGCGTGGCAAGGACAGATTTAATCAAGAAGGAGCATCTTAATGCTTAATTTTGAAAGCGAATGGGTGAAATGCAGCCCTGCTGCTTAGAGACAGGTGTCCTTTGGAGCTTGAACTTCGGACGGTTGGGTAACTTCATTGTAGGAAATGGACTTTATCAGTTCACTTTGTTTTGCTGTGACTTGTAGTTGTTCCTTGGGTTGAAAGCACCTTTCAGTCAGGAATGACGTGCTGAAAGGTCTTTTTAATGGAGGTCCCATTGGTAGGCTGGCTATTGTCTGAGCTTTGGGCCAAATGCATGCTTTTAAAGCGAGCCATGTTGTTCTGATAACAATACACCTTTGCAACCCAACTCCTGGCGTTGGTTCTTGCTGCTGCCTTGGGTGTGTTTGTGTTATTGGTGCTGTAATGCTGAAACCCCACAGCCCAGAGCGTGGCTCTGTCGTGCTGGATGTGGCACAAACCCAAGTAATTGCAGGTAGTCCTCTGCAGCCTTTTGTTTTGAGTTCAGTTTGTTTCCCTCCTGTGGTTAACGTCTGCCTGGCTGAGCAGAAATCAAACTGATCCCAGTGCTTTAAGACCTTTCTGAATAAGCTTGGGTAGCCTTTCCTGGTGGCTGGGTTGACAGAAACCAATCTGTGGGTTGGCATTTTCTTCCTGGAAATGCTTTGGTGCTTTGAAACGAGGGAGAATTCGGTAGGAATTCAGCAGCAGTGCTCTGTACCTGCGCTGAATGCTGCTGGAGCTCAGTGCTGTGGGCCCTTTGCACGTGGTTTCGTGAGAGTCAGCACTTCTTTGACCCTAGGCAGTGTGTGTGTTAACGTGGCACTGTGCCTCCTGGGTGGCAGCCAGCTGCTCTCAGCCCCAGCACGGCGCAGTAATGGAGAAGTTTTGGTCAAAGGCACCTTGGGAGCTTTCATTCCCAGGCAAAGCTTTAGGCCTCTTAGCATTTACCTCAGAAAGATGAGGTTTCAGCAGGTCAGCGAGGTATCAGAAGGACGAAGTACAAAGGGGGTATTATATAAGCTGTGGAGCTGGGAGAGGAGTTGATTTGGGGCTGTTGTGTCGTTTGGTGCCAATACAGAGGGTTAGAAAGCTTAAAGGCTCTCGTCCACCTGCAGCGTCTGTGCGTGAGGGAGAGGTGGCAGAAACCGAGCAGCCTGTCAGCAGGTCGGGCTGACAGCCTCTGCTTTCTTTCCTGCTGTGTGTAGGCTCTCTTTGTGCTCTTCATCCTGGCATACATTCACATCGCCTTCTCCCGCTCGCCCATAAACTGTTTGGAGCACGTGAGGGACAAATGGCCGCGCGATGGCATCCTGAGGGTGGAAATCCAGCGCAACTCCAGCCGGGCCCCCATCTTCCTTCAGTTCTGTGGCGCTGAGAAGTGTCCAGGAATGGTAGTTGAGGCCACGGCTGAGGAAGAGGAGGAGGAAGAAGAGGAAATGACTGTGGATATGTTTGAAAACAGCTCTATCAAGGTAAAGATGTGTTCCCTGTGAGCGTGGGTTTGGGATGAAACAGCTTGATGCACGTGCTGCGGTCCCCTTGTGTGCCATCAGTCACTCAGAACCTGTGTTCCCTCAGTTTTTTCCTGCATTTTCTGGCTAGCCTCTGACGTTTGAAGGTAGAAGTTAAAGCCTGAGCAAATGACCTTGCTTGTCTTCCTGTTGGTGACTCGGGGCACAGACAGCACGGGAACCTGGAGCTGACCTGGCTGCTAACCTGACCTCTTGTGCTGCTGTTCCCCAACAGTTTGAGCTGGATATAGAACCCAAGGTGTTCCTCAAGCCGTCCCGGATGAGCAGCAGTGAGGTGCTGGCCCACAACGAAAGCCAGGAGTTCTCATTTAGTGAAGCAGCCACTAAAGGTATGCAGCCTCTGCGGGAGACTGTGTCCGAGTTTGAGATGCTAACCAGAGCAGGTAAAAACAACTTAAATCCCTATCTGTGCTCTCTCCTTTCCCTGCATCTTCCCTGCACTTCTCCTGGCTTCCCTGGGCCTGCACTTAGCGACCTTAATTGTCCCCTGGCCATCCCTGTTGCTTTAACCTGTGGTGAATCTTGTCACTCCTGACACCAGATCTACAGCACTGTGTTTTCTTTTGTTGGAGGGAGGCTGGGAGTTGGGTGGGTGCATCTGGGCTATAAGATTTGCTGGAGCTTTCTGGTCTGGCATCGTGTTTCTGCAGCAAATCAGTGCCAGCTATGTCAGCTGAATGTAAACCTCCCTCTTCTGAGCAGTTCTGCATTTGCTGTCCTCTGGAAACCTGCAGGGATCCAACTGGCAGTGCACATTCCTTACTGTATTAACAATATTTTGGGTCCCTGAGTCAACACCAGTGCCTGGAATTGCAAACTAATCCTGAAAGCCACCAAGCAAGTTGGAGTAGATTGCAAGATTGTGTTGATAGTCTGCCTCATTCGAAATATTGTCCTGCTCTGTTCTTGTTTCAGCACGACTTGAGCTGCTGATGTTGAGGGTTGTGAGCCTGGACAAAACAACAGCGCTGTTCCCTCGGTCTTGCAAAGTTTTGCTTGATCCTGATCCAGAACTCATTAGTCCTATATTTGAGATCATGAAGGCTCTTCAGACTGGGCGATGTTTAAATAGTTTTGGTGCAATACCTTAATTAACAGGTTGCCTACGTTCTGTAAGAGCCACGTTGTCCAGTGCTGTGTGTGTGTGCTGAATACCAAACTGGAAACGATCCAGCAGTGTGGTAGGAGAGAGAACCATGCCCTTCATGTAGCTAGAAAATCCCATCTTGTTAGCATTTTTTTTCCCAGCTCTTCTGTCCTGTAAGTACACCAGGTTGAATGTTTAGACAGAGTGCATTACCATGGTGAAATGATCTGTGCTACAAACGGAGTGATTCATGCGTTGATGCTTCAACGCTTCCTTTTCATTGGAGCTTAAAAAGGTTTCGTAGTGCAAACTGAAAGCAAAACAAACACGAGAGGGCCTGTTTCTTCTTGCTGACTGCCTGCACAGCCTTCTGTTGAGCCTCCCTTCCCACCTTCTCTTGCAGTGTGGCCACAGGAGGAGTACATTGTGGAGTATTCCTTGGAGTACGGCTTCCTGCGCCTGTCCCAGAGCACGCGGCAGCGCCTCAGCATCCCTGTGATGGTGGTGACTTTGGGTGAGCAAAGGAGCTGGGGATGTGTCTGCAGAGATACCTGCATGCTGGCAGCTCCCTTCCAAACTTCACACTCATCCCAGCTCCTCTTCAGTCTTGTGGGAACTGTTTCTAACAGTTGATGGCGCTCGCTTTCCGTGCAGGAGAGCTTTGGGGAGCGTTGTTGCTTCAGCTGGTTGCAGCCTTTTCAAGAGGAGGGTTTTGAAATGCTGGAGCCTGTTGTGGTGCCTGAGCCTTCGTGTCACGTCTAGCATTGCTTTCTCATTGAAGAAAGAGCCAATGATAAATGTCTGTTTACTGACCTGGGCTTTTCGGTTCACCTGGAAAAGTTCCTGCATGAATATCTTAGTAACTTACTGACAGATTGTTGCTGGGCTTCGTGGTTTTTTGGGCTATTTTTTTACAGGCTGATCAGTGTACAGTAGAATACATGTTTGTGCTTCATGAGAGCTGCATGGAGGTGTTGGGGAGGGGGGCTGTGGGCCTCACCAGCACCAGGCAGAGCCCAGTTGGCTGCAGAAACATCTCTGCCAGCCCCTCTGACAGAGGGGCTTGTCCTCTGTCACACAGGCTTGTCCTGAGGGCTGTTGCTAGAGAGAGAGCCCTTTGTTACTGGGGCTGCAGTCCAAACCCAGGAGAGAAATTCCCTGTATGTGTCTGGCAGTGGAGAGTATGACAGCACAGATGGAATTCTTGCAGCCTGATTGGCATCAGCATGTTAGCAGCGTGGCTATATTTGTCAGGGTGTGACATTTTGCTTCCCCGTCCTGCCCAGTTCAGTTACGCTGCCAGAGGTTGGAGTGCAATTGCAAGGCTGCTCTAAATGATGAGAAGACTGTGCTCACATTTGAAAAGGATGAGGTGTAACTGCTCTGCTCTTCTCTCTAGATCCTACCAGGGATCAGTGCTTTGGGGACAGGTTCAGTCGTCTGTTGCTGGATGAGTTCCTGGGTTATGATGACATCCTGATGTCGAGTGTCAAAGCCTTAGCTGAAAACGAAGAGAACAAAGGTAAGAGTTGCAGGAATCACTTTAGCAGAGGGGGTGCTGCTTTTCCACAGGTGCATGGATGTCCTCTGCTGTCTTTGGTTAACCTCTAACGCAGGGAGCAGCTCCTTGTGTTACATAGGGATGTTATTGCTGAGGACAAAACAAAACAGCAGAGAAGAGACACCAGCAGAGGTGATTTCCTCTGGCCTTATTGCACTGCATGGCAATAAGCTGTGAGGGATGCTGGCGTGGATCTCAGACACGACCAGCAGTTTGTTCTTGTTCTGTGAGTCGATGCCATGGGCACTGTGTGCTTTTCTTCTTTCTCTGTTCCCAGGTTTCCTTCGCAACGTGGTGTCTGGGGAGCACTATCGCTTTGTCAGCATGTGGATGGCTAGAACTTCCTACCTGGCAGCCTTTGTCATCATGGTCATATTTGTAAGTTGGGAGGAGCTGGGCATTCCCTGGACTCTGAGCCCAGCAAGGTTTGCTGTTACAAGGCCTGAGCTCTTAGCTGCTTTTAAAGCTAAGCTGATGGAGTTCTGCTCTTTTTTTCCCCTGATGTGGGTATTTAGAGTCCTAAAAGCAAAGAGCATTTTATGACCAGCGAGAGAAGAAATCAAAGCAATGCAGGGTGACTTTTGTCAGGCAGGCAGTTTCACAGAATCACAGAATTGTAGGGGTTGGAAGGGACCTCCAGAGATCATCGTGTCCAACCCCCCTGCCAAAGCAGGTTCCCTACAGCAGGTCGCACAGTTTGAGCTCCTGGGAGGAGCACAGGTGCAGAATAGGAAGAAACCTCAGTTCCAGCTCTGCTGCTGTTTGGTTTGGCCTCTGCTCAACTATTCAAAATCAGTCTCTTTGCAAACAAATTACTTGCTGTCTATTTTACAGCGGTAATACGAAGATTAATTGCTCTTTGTGAAGTCCTAATTACTCCTTGAGAAATTGGCCTGTGTAGCTCAAGCTCACAAACACAGGGATGTGCACAGCAACATCACGAGTCCCAGCTTGCCTGCCTGAGCCCCTGCTGTGATGTGATCCCAGCAGGAACCTGACAGTGGTTCTGTTCTGTTTCAGACTCTGTCCGTTTCGATGCTCTTACGCTACTCACACCATCAGATCTTTGTCTTCATTGGCAAGTATCTTCTGTGTGATTTGGGCTGTTGAGGTGCTCTGAATGTGGAGTGATGCAGGGTTCCTTGGCCTCGTGTTCTCTTCCTGTGACACTCTTTTCCTTCTTGCAGTTGACCTGTTACAGATGCTGGAAATGAACATGACGATTGCATTCCCTGCAGCTCCCCTGCTCACTGTCATTCTGGCTCTAGTAGGTAAGGACATGCTCACTTCTTGCATTTGTGCTGCAGGTCCCCTCTGTAGGAGGTATAATTCCCTTTTTGTGACCTGGTCACAGCACATGCTGTGTCTGCCCTTCACGAGGCTCTGGGGTTTGATGGCACAGTGAGCTGCGTGGCCGTTCTGAGTCCCCTGGAAAAGCAGCTTATTTGGAAATCACATAAACTGAAGCTTTGCCCATTCCTCTCTTTAGTTCATGTTAGATTCGCACTGTGTAACCACGTTCCATTAGCATAATTTGGGTTTTAAAGAAACAATCAAGACCACTGAGATCTCTGCTGTCCAGGGCCAGCTGATCCTCTGTGTGGTGACTTCAGTCAGCAGTGAGACTTGCTTGACCTCAGCTGTTGTTTTGAACAGGGATCTTTTTTGTCCTGCTCTGGTTCTTTTTGCCATGCAGTGGTGCAGGCTTTTGCTGCCCTGCAGCTGTTGTCTGCCCTGCAGGCTGCTGATGTCAGGCCCCTCTCTGTCCCGTAGGCATGGAGGCCATCATGTCAGAGTTCTTCAACGACACCACGACTGCTTTTTACATCATCCTCATTGTGTGGCTGGCTGACCAGTATGATGCCATCTGTTGCCACACCAATACCAGTAAGAGGCATTGGCTCAGGTAAGAGACCTCACCTCCCTGCAGCTCCCAGTCTCTGGTGGGAGCCTTCTTTAGCTCTCCGACTGGAGGGAGGACTTTCACTCTTCAGAGCTTCTGTATATCTCTCTGGGAGCTGCCCTGTGGCCCAAAGTGCACTTATTCCCACTTTGGGTCTCAAGTATGACTGTCAGGAATCACCCCTCCCCTTTCTTTTGCTCAGCTGAAGTCCTGCTTGCAGCGAAGCCGTGCTAATTGCACATTTGCACAGACCTCCCTGTGCAAAATTCACCAGCTCGGAACAGAGTTATGACTAGAGAGGAGCTCAGGTCTGCCCTGACCACTGATATTTGCTGCTTTCTTTGTGCAGGTTCTTTTATCTGTACCACTTTGCCTTCTATGCCTACCACTATCGGTTCAACGGGCAGTACAGCAGCCTGGCCCTGGTCACCTCGTGGCTGTTCATCCAGGTGAGATGCTGCTGATCCTGCTCAGGTTGCTGCAGCCACATGTGGGGGCAGGTGCCATCCTGTGAGTTCAGCCCTGGTCTCTCTGCAGCCCTCAGAGGGCTCTGCAGTGTTAAAAAGGGGCGTGAAGCTGTGGTTTGGGCTTCATCAAACTCTGTGTCAAACTGTGTTTGAGTGTCAGGTTTGGGAAAGGGGTGATGAGAGGAAGCTGTCGCACTGCAGGACTTGGTCACTCCTCACGTCAGTGACTGGCAATAGGCTGATGTCAAGTGAGCTTTAGGAGTGTTAGGGGAGGGTTCCTGTCTCATCTGGAATAAATCCCACTGAGAATCTCCCATGTAGAGGCTGAGGAATGGATTGGATCTGTGCTGAGCTGCTCCCTCTCTGTGCTGTGAGATGCAAACGTGGGGCTGGAGGGAAAAGCCTTTAGCCTCACTCTCACCCCTACTTCATCACCTGCCTTCAGAGCTCTTGGAGTTGCTCTCTGACAGCAGGAGTTCAATTTGCTCTCTGACAGCAGGAGTTCAGTACAGAAGGGATAAATCTTTGCACAATTTCAGATAAGGTCTTAAAAAGATCATCCAGTTTCTGGTCCCTGTCTTTACATAGGGATGACAGAATGGTTTTACGAGGTGTGTCTAGGCTTACAGCCCAAACCTGTTGAATGATTCCTTTCCCTTTACCATCTCCAGCATTCAATGATTTACTTCTTCCACCACTACGAGCTGCCAGCCATTCTCCGGCAGATCAGAATCCAGGAGATGCTGCTGCAGAACCAGCAGGTGGGTCAGGGCACTCAAACAACTCTCCAAGACAACCTCAACAACAACACTACCCCAGCTGGGCCGGAGGTGGGGGGTCACCGGCCTCACCTGCCTGCTGGCCCCTCCGGAGAGAGCAGCAGCCCAGCAGCTCTGGCCCCCAGCGAGGCCTCCAGTGTCGTCACCGCGGCCGCAGCCTCTTCTGTCGGGAGCGACCTCAACTGGGTTGCTGAGACAGCTGCCATCGTTACAGAGGCTTCATTTCTTTCTGACCTGAGCTCTTCTCTCCTGGAGCCGAACGTGGTGCACGAAGCCGTGGCTGCTGGGAACCCTCAGGATGTTGCTGCTGCCTCCGGTTTGGTCGCACGCATCAGGGTGAGCAGCGACCACCCGGACGCTGCCGTGGGCTCCATCACCATCGAGGTCACTTCAGCCTCTGCGGTCGCTGCTGCCGATGGTTCCCCTGCCACAGAAGCAGTTCCTGCCCCCGTCCCTGGGCAGGAGGATGGGAGCTCCAACCCCAGCCCTTCCCCTGCCGAGCAGACTGAGGCTGCGGAGAGCTCGGACAGCCAAGCCAAACCCAGTGGCAAGAACTGCATTGCAAATGGCAGCGTGGCAGAGTCCCCTCCGGCCTTTGTGGAGAAAACTGATCAGGACAAACTCTTGGGCTGTGCTCTTGGGGACCGGGGGGAGAGCGGCCCTTGCCCAGCACCAGCAGGTAGTACAGCTGGCTCCAGGCCTTGCTCGGAGCCAGACTTGAGGAGCCTGTCTTGAGTCCTTGTTTCTGTCACACCGGACTGCCAGGAAGGCATTTGGATTTCGTTTGTTACTGTTTCTCACTTCACCATCATCCTTAACCCATGAATTCCTCTTAACGGAGGCAGAGCAGCTGGGACAGAGAAAAGATGCTGCAGTGAACTCCCCAGAGAGATGCACACGTGGCACTGCTCAGTGCCAGATTCTCCCTGCAAGGAGGAAGGAGCAAGGGCACGATGGCTCCCTCTGCCTGCAAGGCACCTGGGGAGCCCTGTGCCACTGCAGAGCTGTGGGTGAGCAGGCTGGCCGTGTTCTCAGTGTGCTGTCACAGCTCTTCTTTGCCCCCCTGAGGTTGTGTTGGCAGTCTGGCTGTTGCTTGCAAACATGAGCTGATGTGTGACAAACCACGTGTGTGCACGGCGACTCTCTGGTTAGAATAGCAGCTGTGTGTGAGCAGGGAGAGCAACCAACGGCCAAGGAGAAACAAGTCACCTCCCTTTTTTCTAGGGGAAAAGAAGCTCAGTACCTCCCTTCAACACTGGAGCTGCTCACACCAGAGCAAAGCTGGGTAATAACCAAAGCAGAAACTGCATTTTAGCCCCATTTCTTTTCTTTTTTTATTTTTTCTCCTGACATTCAACTGTCTTTAGTCGGTGGGTTTAGGGGGAGAAGTGTCCAGGTCCAGCTTAGAGCATCCACCCAAGGAAGGAAGCATTTGTCTGTGGTTGGAAGCAGTAAAGGCTTTATTCAGCCCTGGAGGAATGCTGTCCCCTTTGCTGCTGGTGACTCTGCAGGACCCTGGTGAGTTTGGCCCCTCTTCAATGTGTCAAGTGAGAGCTCCTGCCGTGCCACAGGCAGATGGCATCAGTGTCCCCTGGGAGCTGACCTGTAGCCTCAGTATCTGTCCTAGGGGAGGAGGAGGAGGGCAGCAGCTCTGTCCCTGTACAGCTCTGCTTTCGGCACCTGCAGCTGCAGGTGAGGTTGTTTGTTTTTCAGTGCCTTGTCCCTTAAATGGGACACGTTTGTGTTTTAAGATCAGCCCCATCCCTCAGGAGAGGTTGGCATCGTGCTGGCTCAGCTGTTGTGGGTTTAGCAAAGAACCAAAACACTAAAGGCAAATTTCACCTCGCTTTCCCTCATTCCCTTGGCAGCAGAGGCGAAAGCTTGGATTCGTGCCCCAGTCCTGTGTGCTACACCTGGTGCCCCAGGGCTCCGTTGGACCCAGGTGGGGGTTTAGGACTTAAAACCTGCAGGTGGAGCAGGGCTGCAGAAGCAGAGTGATGCAGGAGAGCGCTGGGTGTGCAGGGCTGGGATGAGAGCAGCTCAGGGAGAAACCTGCTGGGAAGGAGGTGGAGGAGGGGGGCTCTGCAGGGCCCTGCAGCCTCCAGCATCTCAGTGCCCCTCTCTCCCTTCGAGGCGCTGCTGTGGCTTCCACCAGGGCTGGGTTTCCATATTGGCAGCATGGGGACTCGCAGCCCTCTGGCTTCATTTTCTCTGCATTTCCCACATGGGTGCCCTCCTATTTTTTTCTCTTTTTTGGCTTGATGAGCCCTGGGTGCTGCTGTGGGGCACAGGGCAGAGCGTTCTGCAGCTGCCTTCCTGGGAGGGCCGGGCAGCATGACGAGGCTCCTGAGCGTGGATGTGCCAGGGTGCAAGAGCAAGGAGTAACCATAGGCTTACAAGAGGGTGGGAAGGGAAGGTGGGAAAACAAACCAAATCGTCTGATGAATGAGGAGTAGAGTTCATTCTATTTAATGTACAAAATGTGTTTGTATATAATAATAAATATTATATCTAACAGCTGCTTGGTGCTGCTCTCATGGCCTGCTAGCACTGGGATGGGGTTCTGCTGGAAGGCGATGTGAGGATCGTGGAGGAGAGCAGAGCTCAGGCCTGGCTGCTGTGCTCAGCAGTGCAACCTCTGCACAAGTGAGGGCTGCACGGAGGGAAGACGGGCCTGGGGCATCCCTGGCTGTTGACAGCTGCCCCTGCTCTCTTGCATTTGGACTCAGTTCTTTCCTCCGCTGCCTCGGAGGGAGGCACTGAGGCTGGGCTCTGCTCCGTGCAGCCCGAGGAAGGGCCGGCACTGCTGCTGTCCGTCCCTCTGCCCCAGGGGGCTGCGCTCTCTGGCTGTGGCTCCGGAGCTCGGTGTGATGTCAGCTCCCTGCCGCTGCCTCTCCGGGGTTTGGAATCTCAGCCCTGACCCTGGGCTGCTCCTTCCTCCTGGGCTCGGAGCGTGGGGGGCTCCTGTGGCTGCTGAGCCCTGGAGGCTGCTGTGCTGGGGCAGGGCTGGCAGCTGGCCGTGGGGCAGAGCTGTCAGCTTTACTCTGCCGCTTTCACAGTGCAGCTGGAAGAGAAAATGCACGCTTGGTTTTTCTCCTGTTTCGCGCTTTAAAACCCCTCGTGCTCACCTGTCCTCCTGGCTTTGCTCCGCTCCTGGGCCCCTCGTTGTACCCAGCGCTGACACCAACTCGCTCTTCCTCAGCAGCGCCGCACGCAGCCGCTCCCGCATCGCCTCGATCTTCTCCTCCAGCTCCTGCAGCTCCCTCTCGCCCCCTGCCCGCTCCCCCTGCACCAACCCGTTGCTGGGAGGCCCTGGGGGCTCCTCGCTGGTGTCCAGCTGAAAGCGCACCCTGCGCACCTCCTTCCGTTCGGGTGCCGGGTTCTGCTGGGGGCTGCGCCTGGGGGGCGAGAGAAGGTTGGGGCCGGGAGGCTCCTCTGCCTCCTCGGGGCTGGGGGGAGCAGGAGAGCGGCGCCGCTGCCCGTGCCGCGCTTTACCTCTGTTCCAGGCTCAGCTTCTGCCTCCTCTGCTCTTCCGTGCCCATGTTGAGAGCGCGGTGGATTTTCTGCGGGGCGCAAGGAGGGGTGATGAAGGAGGTGGGGGTTGAGGGGAGGAGGGAGGAAGGCAGCGCCCTCCTCTTCCTCACCTGGCTGGTGTGCAGCCAGTAGCTGAACCGCTTCTGGCGGCGGATGCGGGGCAGGATGAGGCGATAGAAGGCGTGCTCCCCCAGCGAGGTGAGCAACGCCCCGCCCAGCCCGATGCACAGCAGCACAAACAGCCCCGAGAAATGATAGATCCCCATCTGCAGGGTCTGTGGGATTGATGGGGTCAGCAGTGTCTGTGTGGAGGAGGGGAGGGGACACCAGCAGAGCCCCCCTTCCCCCCCCCCCAGGTCCGGCTGCCCCACCTCAGTGACAGCGAAGACGCGCTTGCCGCAGGGCACCATGCGGTACCACTTGTCGTGCAGCAGGTCCATGAAACCGGCTGACTTGTAGCGACTGATGAACTCTGACAGCTTGGAGGTCAGCGGTGAGTGCTGGGGGAGGCCGATGCCGTAGCCTGGCCCCCACAGCAGGGGGGAAGGAGGCAGCGCTGGGACTGGGGCTCACCCCCCCCAGTACCCAGGGATCCCCCCGCAGCCGCAGCGCTGTGCACCTGCCCACCTTCAATGGCAAAAGGCTTCCCTACGGTGAGCAGCTTGCAGTCGGAGTCGATGGACACCTCGTAGTCCAGCAGGGACTTATCCATGATGAAGGCGTTGAGCTTGGGGGGTTCCGTCCTGCGTCAACGCGGGGGGTTGAGGGGGGGGCCGCTCCCCCGGGCTCGGGGTGTGCAGACAGAGGGGAACAGGAGGGTCCCCTCCTCCCCCCCCCCCGTGCTCCTGACCCTCACTTGAGCATGGTGACACCGGCGGGGGTGGTGGGGGCATTGTAACGCCACATGTGCCCGTGCATTTCGGGGAAGCTCTTCTTGATGTACTCCTCAGCACTGCTCTCCCATACGGTGCCAAAGCGGAAACCCTGCGAGGGGTGGTGCAGCTGGAAGGGGCACCACGGTGTCAGAACCCCCCCACGGGTCGAGGGCACCAGGCAGGAGGGGCTGGGAACCCCCAGTGAAGCAGCAGCTCCTACAAGGTGTCCAGTAAGGACATCCCCAAGGGCAGCCACAGGGCAAACCCAGCCCCGTCCTGCCCCTCCCAGCCCCATGAGGCAGCCAAGCAGAGCTCCCACCTTGGGGTCGTGGATGCCCGAGAGCTCCTCGAAGGTCTTCTCGCCCACCATGACGGCCGCCAGGTTGGCCGTGTAGCTGGAGAGCACCAGGAGGCAGAAGATGGCCCAGAGGTTCATGAGGAAGCGGCCAGTGCAGCACTTGGGCGTCTTGCTGGAGACGGTGCGCCCAAAGAGGATGGCGTAGCAGAGGTTGAGGGCTGAGGAGTAGGAGAAGATCTTCATGCGGTTGCGGCCGTGGGGGGTCATTCCGTAGGGGCTCTTCCACTCGTAAAGGGTGAGGAAGAGTGCGGTCATGTGCAGGGCCACGAAGATGCCCACCCACGTGGTCCAGTGCAGGGGCCACATGAAGGCCCCGATGGGCGACGCCGTGTCCTTGGTCCTCACCAGGATGCCCAGGCTGGTGGAGAAGAAGGGGCTGGTGAAGTCGATGACTTTGCTGCGTGCTGAATTGATGCTGAAGGAGGTGACGGCCATGTGGGCCGTGCCGCTGAGCAGGTCCCCCACCAGCCCCGTCCAGCGCCCGTTCTTCCACGCGCCGTATTTCCCATCGCCCACAATGTAGAGCTCGAAGTCAAAGGGCACGTCCTCGGCCAGCCGCTCCAGCAGGTCGATGCAGTACCCGTAGCAGCACTTCTTGTACTCCCGCGGCACAGAGCCGTTCTCAGCGCTCAGCTCCTCAAAGAGCGCATCCAGCACGGCCGAGTCATTGGTGCCGGGGTCCAGGCAGAGCTGCCCGGCGGGGCAGCTCCCATCCTCATCCACCTCTCGTGTGAAGACGAAGGGATGCTCCACCAGCGTCACCACCCGCAGCCGCGCACGAGTGCCGCCGTTCCCTTCTGGGGGTGCTTTGCGCTGGAGGTGGCTTTGCCACGCGCCCTCCTCCAGCTGCAGCTTGCCGTGCTGCCACGTGCCCACTGTCACCCAGGCAGGCCGTCCCTGCAGGTCACGCTGAAGGCTCCACACGCGGTACTGCTGCTCCGTCTGCACCCGCGTCCCGTCCTGCACCCGCACCAACCCCGTCTGCCCGTGGAAAGATGTGTTGGATAGGAACCTGTGGGGAGCAGGGGGTCACGGAGGGGTCTTCGCTGGGGAGGGCAGGGCAGGGGGATGGGGGAGCAGCAGCGTGGTGCTCACCGGGTCAGGAAGCGCCCTGAGGACGCAGCGCTGTCCCCGCTGTGGTCGTTGCAGTTCACCATGGGGGGGTTGAGCGCGAGGTCGGGGCGCACAGCGGCAGCGCCGCCGATGGCACGGCTCACCAACTCCACTGCGTCACGCACAAAGGCCTCCAGCGGTGCAGCGCCCACCTCCCCGAAGGCCAGCAGCCCCCCTGGCAGCCCCTCGCCCTGCAACTCAGCGGCGTGCAGCGGGGAGCCCAGCACCCAGCAAACCTCCTGCGCCCGCAGCCCCGCACGCTCCGCCGCCCTGAAGAGCCGCCGTGCGCGCCGCAAGTCGCAGCCCAGCACCAACGTGGGGCCGGAGAGGGCTCCCAGGTGCTCCCAGTGCTGCCGGAGGCACCGCTCAGCTCTGGGCTCATGCAGGCAGCGGAGATCCAGCACAGTGTGCAGGGAGAGCTGTGCACGGTCGAGGAAGGCAGTGACATCCCAGGGGCGGCACAGCACCAGCGTGGCCTCGCGCCACTCGTGGGCCTGCAGGATGCTCGCCAGCACCTCTGCCAACGTCTCCAGCGAGCTCTGCCGGTCCATGTGGAAGTGGAAGGGGCTCTGCGGGCACATAGGACAGCAGGTGACCCTCTGCTGTTTGTCCCACCTCCCTCCCAGCTCCGCTCCCCAGCAGCAGCGTGGACTGAGGCCGTGGCTCCCCCCACCTCCCCGCTGCTGATGCAGCACTGCAGGCATGCAGAGCCCATGAATGTGGTGCAGTGCTGAGGAGCAGCGCCCAGTGCCCGCGCTGGAGGGTGGGGGCTGCCAGCACCGTGGGCTGTGTGTGGCCCCCAGCCCCATGCAGGCACTGCGAGGACGCAGCCAGCACACAGCCACTGCATGCTGGGACATGGAGTCACCTTCCCAGCAATGGAGCAGAGCTGTGGCTGAGCCCTACAACAGGTGAAGGAAGCCCAAATGCTCCTGAGGCTACGAAAGGGATAACGGCCTCAAGTGGACAGGATCTGACTGCAGAGGGGAGGCGGCTAAGGGAAGGGAGGGGAACAAATCCACTCCTGGGACACAGGGCTGGGGCTCTGCTCATCTGGCATGGGAGAGCATGGACATCACACATCCTAAGCTATCTTGGGCTGAGAAGTGGGATTGGGTTGTGACAAAGCTGTGATGGAGCCTGGGAAAGAGCCAGGACAAGGATGGGATGGGGTCCGGAATGAAGCTGAGGAGCCCTGACTGACTCGTCCAGGCTGGGGACCACGATAGAGTTGGGACAGAGACGAGATGAGAGCCGGGATAAGGGTGGAGACTGGGGCTGGGATGGGGTCTAGAATGGAGCCGGGATGGGGACAGAGGTAGGCAGGGATAGGGTGGAATGGAGCCGGGATGATGGCGGAGAGAAGCTGGGACGGGATTAGAACGGAGGAGTGCGGGGCCGGGACGGAGCGCTCCCAGTTCGGGGACGGGCACTCACCTGAGAGCGGAACGGCGGAGCGCGGCCGCTGCCGACGACGCTGACGAAGGGAACGCGCAGAGCCGCGGCGAAGAAGTCGATCTGGAGCAGCTCGCGGCGGGATCGGGGAACGGCCAGCACCGCCGCCACGCCTCGCCCCAGCAGAGCCCCGCACAGCCACCGCAACAGCGAGGCCGGATCCCGCGCCGCCGGACGGCCCGCCACCACCTCCAGGCTGCGGTTGTACGGCAGCACAGCCCCGGGACCCCCACCGGACAGAGCGGCGCGGACGGGGCCGGAGGAGGCGGAGGGCAGCAGCGCTCCCAGACGCACGGCGGGGCCGGGCCGGCTCGGACCGCGGCAGGGATGCGGGTGTCCCCCCGCAACCCCCAGCGCGGCCGCCAGCAGCCACAGCGCCCGCAGCCCCTCCATGGGGCCCCGCGCTGCGCCCGTCGGGCCGGGACGGGGCGGGACGGGGCGGGCCGGGGGCGGGGGCAGCTCCGTTCGGCGGGGCGGGACGGGACGGAGCGGGAGCGGCCCCGCAGCTCCGAGCGCGGTTGGGGGGAGCGGAGCCGCCGGGAGGCCTCTCGAGCCCCGCCCGCCCCGCAGCGCCCGGGTGGGGACGCGCATCCCCCGGAATCGGATGGAGGAGACCCCCGGGCCCCCCCACGGCCATCCTGGAGCCGTCGCGGTGCAAAGAGGAGACCCCGAAAATGAGGCGCGGTGCGGTGCGGTGCGAGGATCGCTCGATGCCAGAACGCTGCGCTGCCGGGGAGGTGGGGAGGGAGAGGCTGCACTACATTAATAAGGAAAAGAAAACCGAACGAGAAAGCCAAGGAGCAGCTGGCAAAAAAAATATTGATCATCAGACAAATGTAATGAGTCAGAGCTAATGAGTTCCCTTAGCGGAGATCAGCGCGGGGGAGGGAGCTGGGACAGCCCTTGCAAAGAGCGGCCCCGCAGCTCCCGACCCCCGTGTGAGGGGCCGATGTGCGGGGCCCGAGTGGCAGAGGGAGCAGAGGGAGGCGGAAGGCTCGGAGCGGAGCTGCGCTCGAAGCAATGCAGCCCCGGGGCGGTTGGGGGCCGTCCCCGCAAAGGCCGGGTTCTGCGCGTTGCTCCGCGCTGCAGTTGATCGACGTCGATCCCGAATGTCATAACGGAAGGAGTGAGGGAGGGAGAGAAAGAGAAATGTGGCTTATTAAGCTAAAAGCATTATCTAAACGAGTTGGCATTGGAGCGAGCTGCACGGCCACTTGTGTTATTGAAGTGCATTTGAAAGCAGTTGTGGTGTGCCGGGGCAAATGGGGACAGCTGTGCCCTGAGATCCCGCACACGGTGCCCCTGCTCCAGCCCCAAAAAGCCCCCGGGGGCTGCAGGGCAAAGCGGTGGGAGGAGGGCAGCAGGAACACAGCTGCCAATCGCTGCTCCTTGCTGCAATGTGAGCCCTCTGCCACAGCATCCTGCGCTCCAGGAGCACAGATCCGGGGCACGTGGATGGTTTGGGGGCTTCTGGAGGCTCAGGGAGGGAGCTCGGGGGGGAGGATGGCTCAATGGCTCCGAAGGAATGAGAACTCACCTCCCTGCTGGCAGCATTGAGCATGCAACGGCAAGTGACTGGGAGGGTGGGGGAGGAGTCAAGAGAAACCTCGGGCACCTTTCACTATAAAAAACAAATCTTTTATGTAAAAAATAAACCTAAAGAAAACCCACAACACCCCCACTGCCATGCTAGTGACAATACAAAAGGCTGATTTCCCCAGAACACCGTGGAAAACAAAATAGCTGGATCCAAATATATATAAATTGTCAACATACGAGATCGGAAATAGCACCATGCTTCCCCTGCCCAGACACACACAGAGCCCCCCGAGGGGTGCAGGGCCCACAGCTTCAGGCCCAGTGCCCCCACTGATGGCTGGGGGTGCCCACGAGAGGGCAGGAGCTGCACAGCCCCCGCTGCATGGGAGCAAAACCGAGCCCCAAACGGGGTCGGGGATGCAAAGGGTCCAGTGAGCAGCATCTCCCAGCCAGGGGCGGGCAGAAGGTGTCTCTAAAATCCAATCTCAAACTGGCATTCAGAGAGGTGAAAAAACCCAATTTTCTGTCTGCGCCGCAGGGTCGTGTAACAAAAAGAAACAATAAAAAGGCCAGGGGAAGAGAGAGGAGAAGAGCAGGAGCCGCATCCTGAAGGGCAGCGCAGGCGGGGACGCTCTGCCCTCAGTTGTCTGCGCTGCAGCTGCATTGCTCAGCCCCATCCCTGCGCCATCCTGCAGGCAGCCAGCTGGGACCACACGCAGCCCCAAGGCCCCCGTGCCCCATCTCAGTCCTGTGTGGTCAAAGGGAGGCCAGAGGGAGTGGGCAAACGCTCCTTGGTGGTGTTACGTGGCCTGACAGGCGCTGGTGAGGATGCGAGCCACACGTGTTTGCCCGTCTGCGTGTGCCCAGGGGCTGGCTGTTCTTCCCCAGGAGCTGGGCAGAGAGAGGCAGAGGGGCAGGGGGAGGGCTGGGGGCTGCCTCCTCATTTGGCTGGCTTGGTGATGATGCGAGCGGAGAAGTCAAAGAGGTTCTTGTTGATTTTCCGGAGGGTGCTCACCTCCTCTTCCAGCTCGCTCACCTGGATGGTCAGATGTTCCTGGTCTCCCATCAGGTTCTGTGGTAGAAAAATGTGACAGAAGAACGTCAAGGACCTGGGGCTCAGCTCCAGCAAGCTGAGGTTGGCGCTCACCAGGACAGCGGCCCATCCCAAACCATTCCATCCCCTCCCTTCTTCATCTCCCTGCAGCGCCCTGAGGAACAGCTCTGCTGCCACAGGAGCCCTGGAAGGATCTGTCTGAGGACAAAGTGCCTCTCCACCCCTTTTTCCCCCCAGAGCAGCTCTCACCTTTTCTCTCGTTGAGCACATCTGAGAGTACATCTTCTCAGCCTTCTCTAGATAGCTCTCCCCAGACTCCTGCAAGGACCAGATGGAAACCATTGATACAGAGGACCTGGGCCCTCCCCCAGCAGCCCCAGCACAGGGCACACTGTGGTGGAAGGTGAAGATGTCCCCTGTCCCCTCCACTCAGCAAAGCAAAAAGGAAGCAGTGCCATGGGTACGGCCAACATCCTTCGTAGCAGGGGAGCAGGGCTGCAACCCCTCTCCAAAACAGAAAAAGCCTGTGCTTGGGGAGGGGTCTCAAAAAAGTCCCCTGAGGGTGCCAATGCAGGGGTCTGACAGCAGAGGAAGCCTGGAGGACAGCACAAGGCTCTGGGTTTATTATATTACTGCTGCTCCCCCCAGCACCATGCTGCTGGCATGCTGACATCAGAAATCAGCTCCAGCCCCTCTGCTGAGCTGCAGGCAAACAGTCCCTCCTGGTTGGGCTGACACCGCGCTGCATGGAGCTCATCCATCAGCAGGGACAGTGCTGTCACTTCTCCCAGGGACAGATGCTGACAGAGGAGGGAAAAGCTCTGGGGCTGCTGGCAAACAGGACAGGGACAGACAGACTGGGATGGCAGTGAGCCCGTGAGCATTCGTGGCACAGGACAGTCCCTGTGCCTGGGGGTGGCCAGGCTGGGGCTCAGCACTGACATACAGCAGAGAGAGCCCACATCACAGCACCAGGCAGGGAGGACAAATGACTGCACCAGCCAGGACTGCAAGGGAAGCACAAAGGGAGGGAGAATGGATTTCACTGCATTGGAGAATGGACTTTATGGAGTGGGGGAAAAGCCTCTGGTTTGAAAGAAAGAAGGAGGGAAGGAGGGAAGGAGGGAAGGAGGGAAGGAGGGAAGGAG